GTCATCCTGGGATTTAGACCTATTTTTATTGCTGTCCTCAGTGCTCTCTTCCATACAGAAACTATTTTCAATTCTCCGATGCTGCTACTACTGGAAGAGACTTCCCAGCATAATTAGCTGCTTGACGCACCTAGCTCCTCTTCATATGTTTGGAAATCTGCCATTTAATTTGCAACTGTAGAGTGGCTTGTTTACTAAAAAATGCAGATATCTTTGCAAAGGGTTTTTCCTCTCAAAAACCTCTTGAAAAGGGTGTGATGTACAGCATACCTAACTGTGCTATATAAAGTGAAGCAAAGGTGCATTTTCTGAATGCATCCACGTATTTGTCAACTTGAAAAAAGTTGTAAAAAGTGATCTGAATGCCCCTCATCCCAAAGTTTTCTCCACATGGCTGAGGGAGAATTGTGATGATTTAATTGTGCTTTAGGTGAGATTTAACTGTGATGTCCTTGTGATGATTTAATCACCTGATAAATGCCGTCTATATTTTCAATGCAGTGACATACAGCATCACAGCTCATTTTTTTAATGGCAGATGTACAGCACCAACCAAAGTGTGTTAGATCGTGCTGTATCACAAACCATATACTGGGATAAAGCCATGGCCTTTGCACTGCACCGCTCCACTGCTGAGATAGTTAATCGTAGACTCACAGACTAGACAGAAAGCTAAGTATGAGTTGCCACCAGCAACTAAATTGCTAGTGATCCAGCTAAGGGTCAGTGGAGCTTGGGAAAATATCTTTGCCACGTGCCATACCTCATTAGGCAGATCTTTGGGAATGGTGTAGAAGTTCTCTTTTGTAATCAAAGCCCACCATTACAGGAGAATCCTTCAGAGATCAGAGTGAGTATAGTCACTTTCTCCTGGTAAAATAACGGAGACATCAAAGTACATCAGGCCTAAGACCTAATTACAAAAAAATAGAAAAACGAATTGTGGGTTCCATTACAATGCCCATAAGGAAGACATCTCTGCATACACGTTTGGCAGAGTTACCTTTCAATAGCATAACTACTGCATCCTTCAGGCTGTCCCTAAGGAAAGCTGCACTGTGCATATCTGCAGAGGTAGAGTAGCTTTGTCATTCCTTGCTTCATCTTCTGCATTGGATCTGAAGAGGGCAATGCTTTTTGCTCAAAGGAAAATGTGTAGTACATCGAGACTAAGTATCGGATAACCTATAGAGAGGAGAACATGCATATCAAACGTCAATTTGAAAAAAGGCGTTTGAGTTCTGTGGAAATAGAACACAAAACAAATAACTCTCCATATATGTATATGTATGTCTCCATGGCCATAAAGAGAATATACATTACTGTACTAAAATGGCAGATGGTATATGCTTTGGTAATTAGCGCGATGCCACAGACAGGCTTAAGGTCATGTTTGGAAACACATTTAATAATTGTATGGTGTCTGGGGAGCTGACAATGCAGTAAGGAAATTCTTTGCATTTTAAACTACATTTTAAATCTATACAGCAGAGGGCACTAGCGTTATTGAATTGACCATAGAGTTGATATTTTGGTACTAGAAAAATGAAGGGGGAAAAAAAATCGCTTAGAAGAAAAAAAGGTGTCAACAAAGACTAAAGAAGCTGGTTGATGGTCTGTGTTCCATGTGTGGATTTATAAAGCTAAACCTTCATGTGTCTCTAGCATAATAGCCAGATATTGAATAGCAAATTACTCTAGTACAGAGTTCCAGATGGGTCTTTATGTAAAGCCCATTAAAATATTTCCATAATGTTCTTCAAGGCTTTAAATGAATTTTCCATTGTGGTTTTGTGTGGGCTAATTTTTTTTCCAGGGTATTTCCAGGGTATTTATGATTTTAAATTACCCTGATGTGAAACGACTGCACTAAGACTTCCTGAATACTTAAGCTCTGAACTATGGAAAACCACCAGTATAAAAGAGAGGACCTTTTTAATACATTCCTACTGCCACTAGGAATCTCACTGCAGTATGTTAGCCTCACGCAAGGCTCACCAGTTGGAAGTGTGCATTTGCAAGTCACTGCCTAGCATATTTTCTGCTGGTCATGGTGGCGTTTTTGAATCATCAGCTCCCCTATACTTTAGCAGCACCAAGCACAGTTAGTGTGATCTTATGCTACATACTGCATTTTGCTTCCTGTGTTACCAGAGATGAGGGAAAAAAGTTCAGTAGTGTAAATAAATCCAGAGTTAAATCAAATGGTGGCTACAAAAGCTAAGGTTTGCTCTTGCTGCCTCCCAGAAAACATTCCAGAGGAATGGCAATATAGATCTTCTATACTTACATATTAAACAAAATACAGCTTAGACACAGAAAAATCAACCACAGCAACACATGAAAATGTATCTAGAACTTTCCATCTACATCTCACAAAATGGTGATCCTGTCTTCAAAATTATACACTCAGAGCAGCTAATAAGTAGTCAGTGACCAAGCTGGTATTTGAAGTATACACAGATTTGAATTTTGCAGAAACCTGAGGGCTGCAGAATTTCCCGAGAGTCTTTGACAGGTCATAGTTCTGAGGCATATGTTTGATTGAGACATCCCTAGCACAGAACAGGGGAAAAAGGTAAACGTAAAAGCCTTGGGCAATTTTGGCCTTCAGCACAAGGAAAGAGCAGTTCTGTGTGACTGATTCATTGTTTGAGTCAATAACCAAAAATGGGAGGAATATAGGGAATTTATTTTAAGAAGAAAAGCAAAACCATTTCTTTTTGCAACTGAAACATGGAAACATTTTGGTTTGGGTTGAACAATTTTTGCTAATCAGTCTCATAACTGGATAATTTATTTGTTACAGTGAAGTAATGTATTCAAGTAAAATGTTTTTATCTTTTTTTTCTTACCCATGGAGCATATGTGTATTGATGGAAAGGGAAGGTTTGCTGGATAAGGGAGTAGGTGAAGGGAGTGGTGGTTCCAGTGAAGACAATAACATTGCACCAGTGCCATGGTAAAATAATTGGTTTGGTGTGTTTCTGTAATCTGTTTTATTACTTGTTAATGGAATTCATTATTCAGTCCAAGTCCTTAGGGGTTAAGTTTTAGAAGAATTTAAAAAATGAGAAAACAAAGGAAAGACAAATCTACTGAATAAAAAAAAACTAGTGACAAACAAAAATGCTAATACAATCACATTAACTATCACAGAAGATGGTTAATTACTATTCAACAGCAAAATCCATGGATCACAGATATCTCCATCTCTCTACAGAGTTTCTCCATATATTGTGTTCAGCACCTCTGAAGAGTAAGCCTGCAGTAAAAAGGAAGGTGTATACAGCAGCTGCCCCTCATCTAGTCTAGCACATTATCCTAAACCCATGGAGCCGATGTTCCGAAGTACAGTTGTTGGCAGGGGGAAGGGATGGAGAGGTGGGAGCAGGAACATCTAACACTACAGCCACAGGGTTCTCCAGTCCTATGACAGAAGTGTAAGCCACGGAGAGAGAAGTTGAGTGACTTGCTCAAGGTTGCAAAACACATTAGTTTCATGAATCTTTCATAACGAGAATGATGTTTTATAAATAGCACTTACGGAGCAGATCAAAACCACAGATACAGCCCAGATTTTCCAATTCCCATTCACAGGTTTTTAACCATTATATTGGCTTTCTCTGCAGTAAATTATTAAAAGTGAGATGAGAACACTTGCTAGCTCTGAACCATATAACAAGTTTAAAAAAAATGCAGAAATGAATTCTCAAAAACACATTGTCTGAATATATAATTAGAAAAAAAGTCTTTCGTTAAATGAATTGCTGTGAGATGCAAGTTCATCTACTTTTTCCTGGTGGTTTTTTTTTTTAAAGCAAGATAGTTTTTTTTACACAAAATAAAACAATTCAGAGCCTGGAGTGGAAAACCGTTGCCTTATAGTATTTTGTTTTACTGAATACATGTATTATGCATCTGGGTGCTGTAGGTTATAAATATGCTTTAAGCTTGCTGTAATTTATAAGACTTCACTTTTGGCTGATTTATAGAAAATGTCATTAATCTCTACAACAGAGGGACCTTGCACTGAGCAGCAGATTGAAAATGAACTGAGGGCTGGGAGCTTTAAGAACTGCCACAAATGAATCAGTACCAAAATTCTTAAAATGGTAATGATCATTTATAGTGTAAAGGTCTTTTTTCCCCTTACAGTAAGATCTCTAGGGGTTTTCTAAAGGTGCCAATGAAACTGCCAACCCTGAAGCTACAGAGATATTTTTCAGCATTTAAAAGGCTATTCTTATTTCTGTGTTCAACACACATTTACTAATGAGTGTTTCTCTGCTGTTGGTGCCAAACAAAATAATTGAGGAGGAAATGTCATGAAATTGGATGATGCTGTTTAACGGTATGGAAGAATTGATGCTCAGCATGTTTCTTTTGTTTTTTTTTTTTTTTTTAATTTGAAATAGGCAAGATCTTGCCCTGACATTTGCATGACCTGCAACATTCAGTATTAAAGGCTTTACTTCTAGTTAAACTCCAATGCAGGACTCACATTTGTATAGGCAAAGATTTTCACCCATACAAAACAGGAGTCTCCACTCGCTCTTCTTAGTATCTGTTGTCTTGTCTTAAAATGTATCAAGAAGGTTAATACCTTGAATAGTCTGAGGATTCCTATCTTACTCATTTTTGCCTTTTGAGGCCGTTGTCACTTCTTTCAACTCTCCCTCTGAGTTAGAACATTTCTTTTAGGTATCCACTGTGGTTGAACTTGTTATCTGCCATCCAGCTACATGCTTTATACATTGGAATGAATAGGAAAAGCTAGTCTCTGGCTTTTTCTTATCTCATTGCCAGTTACAGCTGACATACATAGCTGTACAGGAAACAAAATATTAGCATTTCTACAGCTATTCTCACTACAGAGTTTCATGAAATTGGTAGAGTTGACTGAAAGGAGCAAAGAAGTCTTTCTTTAGAGAGCACACTTAAAGATTAGAGATTAATTTAATGTTCTCCTTCTCCCTTTCTTTCTTTCTTTCTTTCAGGCTATTCAAACTCCAGAAGGACCAACACCAACTAAATTATGAATGTTGAACAAGATGACCTTACATCCACAGCAGATAATGATAGGTCCTAGGTTTAACAGGGCCCTATTTGACCCCCTGCTTGTGGTGTTGTTGGCTCTTCAGCTTCTTGTGGTGGCTGGTCTAGTGAGGGCTCAAACTTGCCCTTCTGTCTGCTCCTGCAGCAACCAGTTCAGTAAAGTGATTTGCGTACGGAAAAATCTGAGAGACGTGCCAGACGGCATCTCCACCAACACCCGGTTACTCAATCTCCATGAGAACCAGATCCAAATCATTAAAGTTAATAGCTTCAAGCATCTGAGGCACCTTGAAATCCTGCAGCTCAGCAGGAATCACATCAGAACAATTGAAATAGGGGCTTTCAATGGTCTGGCCAATCTCAACACTTTGGAACTCTTTGACAATCGTCTGACCACTATCCCAAATGGGGCTTTTGTATACCTGTCAAAACTGAAGGAACTGTGGTTGAGAAACAACCCCATTGAGAGCATCCCTTCTTATGCTTTTAACAGAATCCCTTCTCTCCGGAGGTTGGATTTGGGGGAATTGAAAAGGCTTTCATACATCTCAGAAGGTGCCTTTGAAGGTCTGTCCAACTTGAGGTATTTGAACCTTGCCATGTGCAATCTTCGAGAGATTCCTAACCTCACCCCGCTTGTAAAACTGGACGAGTTAGATCTTTCTGGGAATCACCTGACTGCCATCCGGCCAGGTTCTTTCCAAGGGTTAATGCATCTTCAGAAATTGTGGATGATACAGTCCCAGATTCAAGTGATAGAAAGGAATGCTTTCGATAACCTTCAGTCACTTGTAGAGATCAACCTGGCACACAACAATCTAACACTACTGCCTCACGACCTGTTCACGCCGCTCCGCCTAGAAAGGATCCACTTGCATCACAACCCTTGGAACTGCAACTGTGACATCCTTTGGCTCAGCTGGTGGATTAAAGACAAGGCACCCTCCAATACCGCATGCTGCGCCCGTTGCCACACACCTCCCAGTTTAAAAGGAAGGTACATTGGTGAGCTGGACCTGAATTACTTTACGTGTTACGCTCCAGTCATAGTGGAGCCACCAGCAGACCTCAACGTCACGGAAGGCATGGCTGCAGAGATGAAATGCCGGGCGTCAACCTCCCTGACCTCTGTCTCTTGGATTACTCCAAATGGATCTGTCATGACGCATGGGGCCTACAGAGTTCGGATTGCTGTGCTCAGTGATGGCACATTAAATTTTACAAAGGTAACTGTGCAAGACACAGGTTTGTATACATGCATGGTGAGTAACTCTGTTGGGAATACCACGGCTTCTGCCACGCTGAATGTGACTGCCCTGGATAACCCTGGTTACACATACTTTTCTACCGTCACAGTAGAGACTGTGGAACCTTCTCAGGATGAGGCACAGACCACAGAGCAGGTTGGGCCCACGCCAGTTACCAACTGGGAGACCACTAACATGACAACCTCACTCACTCCACAGAGCACAAGATCAACAGAAAAAACGTTCACCATTCCTGTGACGGACACAAACAACGGGATCCCGGGAATAGATGAGGTTATGAAGACTACCAAAATCATAATTGGTTGTTTTGTGGCTATCACTCTCATGGCTGCTGTGATGCTGGTAATTTTCTACAAAATGAGGAAACAGCATCACCGGCAGAACCATCATGCTCCAACGCGGACTGTAGAGATCATTAATGTGGATGATGAGCTTACAGGCGACACACCCATAGAGAGTCACTTGCCCATGCCAGCAATAGAGCATGAGCACCTAAATCACTATAACTCTTATAAGTCTCCTTTCAACCACACAACAACAGTTAACACAATAAATTCAATACACAGTTCAGTGCATGAACCGTTATTGATCCGAATGAACTCAAAAGACAATGTACAAGAGACTCAAATCTAAACCATTTATGACATTATGGGGTGGGGGTGGGGACAACAAAAGATGATTTATAAAACAAATGACACAAATGACTGGGCTAAATCTACTGTTTCAAAAAAGTGTCTTTACAAAGAAAAAGAAATTTATTTATTAAAAATTCTATTGTGATCTAAAGCAGACAAAATTATGTGTATTCCTCAGAACCTGGTTTTGCTGCACTTATTTACCCTCCTCGTTCCCCTTTTCCTCCCCAGCCTACCCTGATTCCCATTTGCCATATTTTTCATAGGAGATCTTGATTCCCTAAAAGAACTGGTCTAGGAAATTTTGTAAGAATTCTGTTACACTTTGGGAATTTTTATGGTGAATTCTAGTGGTGAGATTTGGACTATTTTGTCACTTTTTCTCTTTTTTTCTTTTGTTTTCTCATGCCCTTTTTGAAATCATTCAGTAGAGAATGGAATAATAACAGCAACTTTACAAGTGAGAAAAACAAAGAAGCAAACCTTTTTTTTTTCCCATGTAATGATTTGCTCTGTATTTACTGAAAGCACGGTTCTGTGAAAAAATGGAAGAAAAAGTAAAAACAAAACAAAACAAAAACCACCCCAAGAAATTAATTTACTTGTGAAAACCTATAAAACCCATGATCTTTTAAACAATTATAGAACCAGAATTTGTAGTTCAAACACTAAACTAAGATTATAAATAAAATATTGGTTTTTTCTGTACTTGGACATAGCTCATTTTTAGTGTGGCTTTAAACATCAAAAGTTTGTTAAAATTCTTACGATATTCTGCTGTGATGTTCCAAAACACAATCACTTTAAAGAGAACAATTAAACCACTTTGGATCATTACTGAAGAATAGCATAGTTTTCATTTTAGTTTATGTAAGCAGCCTACTGGCAAACAAGGGTGTTTGACTTTTAATGCAAGATTAAGATCATTCCTTCTAATGCTGTTTTCAATTATCTCTATTATATCTCAAGATGTATTTCACAATGCCAGGAAAAGTTTTGCGAGGAGTTTCAGTTATCACTGAATTTATTAGACAACGCTGAAAGGTTTGTTCTGTTTTTTGTTATATATATAACTGTCAATAAGAAAATTCATCTTTATATCAAAGCTAGTAGTTTCCAGTTCTGTTGTTCTGGGACTCCTAGACATAAATATGAAATACGTTTCGCTGTCTATGATACCTATAATCAGAGCTGTATCCCTATGTGCAAAATTAAATCAAAATGCCATTATTGGAGTAACTCAAAGGAAGAAGTCCGAGGATTTTGGTTTAGAAAACAGAAAGAACAGAGTCAGCCAAATCAGAGGAGGGTGTAGGTTACTGTAATTTGCATGACAGTTAGACTCCGTGTAGAGTAACCAGTTTACATTAATTTAAACTGAGACTCATTTACCAATAGGAAATGTACACTCTTTTCCTTTCTCTTTATCTATGTTCTCTGGATTTAGCTTATTGGTATAGGAATGGTGTATACCTTGCAAGCTGAAAGCTAAAAGGAAGGCTTTGCGTAAGAAAACCAGCTTCCGGACACTCTTCTTCCAAGTAGAAGTTCTGCCAAATTAAACTACTTTACGCATTGGCAACTGAATAGAAGCATTTTAAGATGATTTAGATTAGGAAAAAGAATCATATATATAATCTCTGAATGTGTTTTCACCTATTTTCTTGCTTAACCACCTTTACTGTGAGTTTTCAGGATCCTGTGCCAGGTAAATAATGTTCTTAGTTCTTATCAAAATCTCTTTGGAGCTTTCTAGTATGCAACAGCATGCAGGATGAAGACCCTACTGAAGAGTGTACTATTCTGTAAATTTAAGAAGGAATTTCTGCTAGGTTGAGCGGGTAAATATCACTTGTTGGATGCACAGTTCTGAAGGTTGCAGGTGAATTTTGTAGTAAGAAGGCCTGATGTAAAGAGGACACAGTGGCGATAGGTGATGATGAATCACACCCTGCAAGGAGTCTGGTAAGTATAATACAGAAATAAACCCAAAGTTCTATAATAATCTCAAAGAAACATTTGGCAAGACATTATCCTTTCATGTACTACGTGAAAAATAATATCTACTCTAAGAGAATTTTAACAGAGGACAAAAAAGGACCTGAATGTAAAATGCTGCAGTTGTGATTCCTAGTTTTGCCTATTTCTTCAGAGTGCATTAGAGAATTTCATTGGTGATTTCTCTTAAGCATTGCAATAGAGTCTGTACAGAAACACTGCAATTACACATTGCTATTTGTACTTTGCCCATCTGGCTGGTAACATTGTGTCCGTGACCAATGCTTATCTGAAAATTGAAAAAATTCTTTCCAGGAAACCTAAATCTCAGCCATCTGTAATCAATGGGTTTATGTTAAAAAATTATGACTACTCTCTAACCAGTATTTGTGAAAGCACTTGTGGTCACCGTGGTTTTATAAACATGTAGTTTTTACTAACTCCTAAAGGTTATGCATAGGAGACCTTTGAGAAAAAAAATGTATAGCTATTGCCAAGTGGGACACTGGGTCAGTGACAATCTTTATTCCTCTTTGGAGTAATAAAAAAATAATATCAGTGACTGTTTTAAACAACGTATACATTCTTACTGAGTGTTAATCTGGTTTTATTGGCTAATCAGAAAAATCAGATATTCCTGCTTGCTCATAATAAGCATAAAGAAAAAGCATTTTGGTGTGTTTGGTTGGGTGAGTATATATGTGTTATGTGGAAAACATTAGTTCTGATTTTCCCAGCATCTTCCCTATCCTTCTTGGAACCACAGAGATTATTTCTGACTCCTTCCTACTTCCATAAAACACCCAGTACTTTTTCAGATTAATTAAATACCAGAGTTAGAGAGCATCACATTTTAAATTATGAACTGAGCTCTGCAATAAAGTGAGAGGTGTGCTGCGCTCTCTTGTTTTGGTGCTCAAATCACACGCCAATGCCACCTGTTACTACTCCAGAGACTACAATGTTAAGAATGAAGCCTGGGTCTCCTAATGAAATGTCTCTTGCAGGTGACCACATTGTAGATGGTGTGTGATGTAAAAAAATTGTGGAAAAAAAAAAAAAAGTAATCTTGATTATGAGCTGTCGCTTTCTAGTGGGCTCATGAGAAAGGATGAATTAGTCTTCAGTTCATTTAATGGAGTTTCAAGATGTTTGCCTGTTGTCCTGTACAAAGGACAAGTCTTACGAATCTTGCCATATGCAGAAGTAACATGTGAAAAGCAAAGCAAGTAAGATGGACATTTTATCTTACTTTGAAAAGGGCTAAATATATGAAAATTGTTACAGTAATTGTATTTTTTTGCTAAAATATTCTAAAGCGTTAAAAATTATATGTAATTTTTTCAAGATTCCCTGTCCCCACTGATGGCATTATAAGTTGATCAAAGCATCAGAGAAAAGATAACTAATATTATACTTAGTTGTACTAGCTTCATAGTCTTGTGAAAAGTATTTCGTAACAGCTGTTACAAGCTTTTATATGTCAGATATGACTATTACTGTAGTCTTTTCAGTAAGGAGAATGGAAAATCTTTTCAACCTATTCATCCTTCTCTAAAGTTTGTATTCCATTTTTTACATGAGCTAAGTACAACATTTTTGAAATTTTCACTTTTTTTCTAAGTCCAGACAGTGAAGGTCTAGGAAGTGTTAGGAGCTACCTTACAGTTTCATACCAAAAGAAGTAAATGAAGAAATAATTTATCCTTATCTTCAATATATAAGAAGAAGAGTTAGACTTCAGTGTCTGAGTATCTGTTTTTCTTAGTAGAACTATTTAATGCATCTTTTTCTCATTTGTGCAGGTGCTGCCAAAAACCCATCTCATTTCAAACTTGCATCTACAATTCAGTCTACAGTTAGCCTGAAGGTAGTGGCAGACATTTTATTGTGGAGGTGGTGTTATAATTAGTATTGTAGCAGACTAACACCCAGAGCCATCACTACTGACATAGCAGGGGTTCATGGGCTTGGGGAGATTCTGGGAAAACTACCCAGGAAATTTGCAATTTCTGTTGGCCCTGCAGCCAACACTGCGGTTGCGTGTTTGTGGCTGGAAGAGCACAGCAGGGCAGAAGAGCTTTTGGGCCACAATTTCAGTGGCCGCTCCCCACTTAAGGGCATAGATGCAGAAGTAATCAGGGTGTAATAGTTCAGCTTCAGACATGCAGTATGTGACTAGGAATGAGGGAATTCTTTTTCTTGTTTATCGCTGTTGTTTAACCCCAGCAACTAAGCACAACAGAGCCACTCACTCCCTCCCTCCTCCCTCCACTCCCGGTGGGATGGGGAGGAGAATCGAAATCAAGTAAAACTTGTGGGTTGAGATAAGAACAGTTTAATAATTGAAATTTAATAATAATAATAATAATAATGAAAAGGAAGATAACAAAAAAAGAGTGAAATATAACCCAAGAAAGACAAACGATGCACAATGCAATTGCTCACTACCTGCTGACCAATGCCAGTCCCACAGCAGTGACCTGCCCGTCCCAGCCAACTCCCCCCAGTTTATATACTGGGCATGACATCACATGGTATGGAATACCCCTTTGGCTAGTTTGGGTCAGCTGCCCTGGCTGTGTCCCCTCCCAACACCTTGTGCCCCTCCAGCCTTCTGGCTGGCTGGGCATCAGAAGCTGAAAAATCCTTGACTTACTCTAAACATGACTTAGCAACAACTAAAAATATCAGTGTGTTATCAACATTCTTCTCACACTAAATCCAAACCATAACACTGTACCAGCTACTAGGAAGAAAATTAACTCTATCCCAGCTGAAACCAGGACAACTACATTTATTCACTAGGTTTTAAGGCTTAGTGCACACTAAACAATTGAAAACTTGAAGAATAAAAAAAGTCACAGATCTACAGTGCAAGTTTTACACAAATGGCAAAGTCATATTTTGACAAAATGCTAATGTTGGTTTGAGGGAGTTTGGGAAGTTTTTTCAGTATTAACTCTATTAAGACAAATGAAATCTGTCCTTGAATAGCTACATGCTATTTGCTTCACAAAGAATAAGTCATGATTTTCTTTGGTGAGATCTGTTAAACAAAATATTGTGTTTAATTTGTCTTGGGTTTAGTCCTTGCTTTCATACATTTATAACTTACACCTAGACTGTCTGATAATCGGAGCGCTCTCTAAAGGGCTGAATCAGTGAACCCTGACTGTAACTCCAGTGAGGTATGGAATTTTGGAATGAGGAGGAGACACTGAAATGATGAAATCATCAGATGATTTTATGGCTATCTTTTGTAAAACAAGAAAGAGGAAAATAAAGTTTGTCATTTTTAAGAACTTTGAAAATCAAATCTTATGTAAAACCAGGAAACGTTTGTAAAAAAAAATAGAAGAAATGAGGACATTATTGGACTTGAAAGTAACAGTAAGATGTAATGATTAAAGCAGTGGGAGTCATGTATCCCACACGATCTTTACATCTTTTCTAACAACACAATCTGCAAACTCAAAAATTTGAGTTACT